CTGTTATGGTTCGAATCCCGCTTGGGGTGTTGATAAGACCTATGCGAGGTTGAATCTACAGTCTACCCTGGATGAGAAGACCTTTCGGGAAAGCAAGGCTATGTTAAATTCAATGGAAACATCAGCTCTACGCATATCATTGTGGGAAAAATCAACTACCAATTATTCATCACCTTAGACGAAATAGAGTGAACACAACTGGGATAATGTAGAAAATGTACTTTTAGTAGGACAAGTGAGAGAAGAAAATTAAGTGATCCCGTTAATAAAATTACCAAAACTATAGACGCCAAAAAAAGAAATAATGGGCTACACCAGAAAAGTGCTCAGATTTCGTCTAATAGTGTAATCTCAACATATCCTGAGAATCGACGTCTTGATTACTCAACAATAAGGATCAAAATGGTGTCTCATATATAACAAACAATAATTCGAGAGAATAGTTAGCTGCAACTTTGTCAAAAGCAAGTCAAGAAAAGTGATCCGACGATTTCAAGTACAGCAAGTCTACTAACTTCATGCTACTCCTACTGCTTATACTGTCACTACCACTAATACTATTGAGCGTAATAGTAATAAATTCCGATTACGAGGCCTAAGCCATGATAAGTTGAACACCGAAGAGCATCCAAGCAGTGACAGAGATCCCTAACATAAGCCTTAGCTGCAGAGCTGATTTCAAATAGGGCGTGAATATGTACCACTAGCATAATTTGGATAAAACTTCGATGAAATAAATAAGAGAATAGATAAATGCCATTCGTCATTAATGACGCCAATCTCCGATTCATTTAAGAAAGCAAGTATTGGCAAGACAAACTGCAAGTTTCATATAAAACCGTCCACAAATAGGTCCAGATTTTATTCCCACCTCCCATACAAAACAATGGACATACTATGCCTGTGAGCATGTAAAAGGCTAAATTTCTAATCATCAAATTAAATAGGCTTAGGCTGTAGTCGTTGGACGTAAAGAAAGCCTAACAAAGTTTGTTTTTAGCAACTTACTTGGCCATGTCAAGGCTTAATCCATAAACATACGCCCGAATTCGGATTAAGGCCGAGGCGATTGTTGCTGTGAACCGAACGGTAGGACCAGTGACAACCTCAAACCCCCCAGTCCCACCTCCACGATCTCCAGGCTCGGCAAAAGGACTTGCGCCAGGCCCCGCTAGTCCAGGGCCTGCGACAACAGCGCTGCCCCCAGCCCAATTACCGCTAATCAAACCAATGGCGCCTCCACCTCCAGATCCAACCGCGCCAGTAGTCGTCGCATTCAGCCCTACTGCAACCGTACCATTTCCTCTATTCGAGGCTAGACCGCCAGCCCAACCAGCTGAGGAAGAGTAGCCAGCCATCTGGGGCATGTTAGCAGAATGATCAAGAGATTCAGAACGCGGAACAACGTCAAAGCTTGACATTGCAGCCTGATGGGACAATAGACCTGGAGTGCAGGACAACTCCGGTTGAAGAAGATGAGCAAAAACTACCGAAAGTCGGACAGCCGTTTCGAAGAGAATCGATGCTTGGAGAGTCGATCTAGAAGGATGAGTAATAAAGAATAAAAAGTAGATATAAATATATGAAAAAGAGAAAAGTATATACAAACAAATTTTAAAATGAGCACCGAAGAGAATCTCCCACTTATTTTTACTACTAAGAGCTATCATCAGCTAGGAAAAAAGGATTCTCAATTATTTAGAAAAATAGCATTTACTTAAAGATACTGGACATGATCTATAATCAGGACAGATATTTTCAACACCAATTCTGATTCTGAACTAAAAGCTAATGGATTCGTACCATAAAAGAATCAGATAAAAAAGCTATAGTAGCTCATTTGAAACTTGACTGTTTAAAAAAGTTGTTCACTTCACACAAAAAATACAAAAGATGCAAAAACGTTTAATTAGTGTGAAAAAATGCTTATCCACCATTAGGAATCAATTGATGTACAAGGATAAAAAAACTAAAAGGAGTGAAATTAAGAATTTCATAATAGAAGCTAGCTGTGATATATGAATGATAGCTAATTATATCTACAAACCTCTGTCGAGTTTTTTCAGTGGCAATTTCAGAATGCTTCCTTTTCTGCCCAGCCTGAAGAAGTATAGATTGAGCAGACGTCATGTCATGATCATTAGCGCGGGAAACTTCGAGAGGAAGGGATGAAAAAGATGAGTTAGTAGCTCCAGCAGATAGTGGTTCCAAATGAACCTGAGTAAGCCTAGAATCTGATGTTTGGGAATCATCAGTCATCGGGGCCCCTAGAAGATGGCCTATAAGACTGGCTAAAGTGACAAGGGCTCGACCAGCTGCTGAGAGATCCAGACCACTATCGTTTCTACTAATCGAAGATAGAAAGTGAAGGGGAAATTTGATATGATCTGTCACCTGACTCGCGAGCCTGGATCCATTAACAAATTTAGAGGTTCCGGGCTTTTGTACTTGCTCATATGTAGCGGGACTCAGGAACCGGCAATCAGCCAAGTGACGAGTAAAGACTCGAAGCAAGCAACGTTCTGTCTCCGTAAGACCAAGGAAAAGGCTATCCGCCTGGCAGAGATAAAAGTAAAGCAGATGGAATGCAAAAAGTGAAAGAGGCGAAAAAATAGAATGCTTTCATGAAAAAGGTAAAGTGGCCAATGTAAATAGTGGCAAGACTATCAAAATAATAAAACAAAGACAGTTTAACCGTCATCCTTCTTTCAGCTTTTGGGCAATTGGCCAAATCTTTTTGCCGAAAAATTTAATCAGAAGGAAGATAAGAAGACCAGGATGGAATGGTCTTTGGTATGATGACAGTCTCCTTTCGATGTATAGATGTGGGCTGACTTCGTTTTCGCAACTTTGTCGTGTTGTCAGTGCGACTTACTCAGACGCACTTTGTCCGAAGTTCTCCCCTATGGTAGTTAGCATAAATTCCAGCGTTGGAGCATGGACTAGGTAAATCCTCAGAAGTTTCGTCGACATCATAGTTTCAATCGTCAGTGATCTTGCCATTCTCATTACCAAGCTACAACTCGTCATAGAGACAAGTGAAGTGAATCCCTTCATAACCTTGGTAGAAAGTTGGTAAGCGATTGAATTTATTTGCCTTTTTGACGAGCTGTAGCTTGGTGCTTAGAATGACAAGACTCATTGACTATCGTGACCACGATGTCGGCAACACGTCTTGGGATGTAAAAGGCCCACAATCCGACTCTGGAAATTACGGTAACTACTATAACAGATGGCTTCGGATAAGGTAGGCCCAACCAAGTCGCACTGATAATAAGACCAAGTTGCAAAAACGAGGCAAGCCCACTTCGTTATAAAGTTTGGATGTATTTCCCGTTGTTAAAAAGTCGTAAGAAACAATTTGGAACTTAAAAAGGTTCTGACAAGATTTGAACACAGCTCGTCTTCTAGTCAAGCTTTCTGTTCAACTTTTGTTAGACGGCTCAAC